AAAGAGAGTCATAAAATAATTTTAAATCAACACAAAAAAGTGTAAAATTGGGCTTAGAGTCAGTCACTTTACATTTATGAAGATGAAACATACCACATAAAGTAAGTAGTTTTAATCTGTCATCCATCTCCTTTAACCCAGAGTCCCAAATCAAAAACAGCACATTCACAACCTCAAAAGTAAAGAGTTTGTAATAAGTAGAAAAAATAAGCCAGGCTACTTTTTTCCAGAACTCCTTTACACAATCACATTCAAAAAACAAATGTGGTATTGTTTCAAGATTAGTATTACAGAATGTGCGTATGCGCTAGCTGTACTGTCTGTGTAAAGTATCTTCTTATTAAACTGTCTATACACTTACAAAGTTCTCAATGCTTCGATTTGCATGTAAGGACACTCATTATGCTGCCGTGTTAGTGTGGGGCTAATTTGAGCCTTGTTAATGGTATTAACTAGCGATCTCTTTTTGCTTACTCGATGCCCAATATACTAGCGTTATAAGCTAAACTGTTTTTAGAGATAAAACTCTTTACATTCGATTATCATGAAAACAAATCTCAGGGAACGATTTAGTCTGTACCAATGTGTTATTACACCCGAGGTTCATTTTGCACCGGAGTTGTCCTTTAAGGATGTTTAGATATTTTTAATGGAAAACAAGACAAAATAATTTTTACAAGGAATTAGGGGAAATAAGTTTGGGGATATAATATATTTTTCTTTGTCACTAAGGTCAAAAATAAATATGGCAAAAGCCGAAAAAATAAAAAAGAGAGAGGTCAGAAAGTGTGTGGACTGTTATCTATGACTATCCAAAAAGATGTGGCTGACCTTTCACACTAGAGTAATCCATATCGCTCTGACATCACCCTGTGTGCCACGTTCAGTTCACACCTAGTCAGATCACTCTATTCACACTCAAACTGCTTTCTGTCAGGTTTTCACCTTTGTTATTTTTCTCCATCAGACTCTGACCTTTAATATTGACGCTGAAAGCAGACCTTTGTATGGATTTCCCATTGCTACAGTACATGTTTCATTCACTTTCCTCTTTATAGAGAGGACTATATATATTACCCTTCTGGCTGTTAAATCAACATATCCTGCTTCAGAGAGTGTGATGAATTCACTTTTTACTTCTGTGATTGAGTGAAAGAATCATGTCTTGAGTGAGGTGTTAATTTAGTGCAGGTCAGAAAGGTAGCTCTCAGAGTTAATGTAAAATTCAAAACCCTTTCCAAGGAACTTATTAAATGTTTAATCATGTTTTTGAAAAGAAATGGACTGCTGGAAGATTTTTTTTCTAGACTAATTATTTTCATTTATATAAAGGCAAGACAGGTGAATAGGTTAAAACTTTCAACTAAAAGATGTCTCCATACTTTCCCCAGTTGATTTATCACAGTACATTAATACAGTTGTTTTGTATTACAAGTTTTCTGAAATGTTATTTAAATATGCAAATGATGCATTACCTAATAATCTGCTCTAATTTGCATACATTTTCTAAACAGAAATCTGAACATTGGACAAAGCCAGGTTAAAAATTCTTGTTTCATTTTGTTGACATTAGATTCAAAGGTTTTTAATCTCTTTTTATGACCCCTAAGCATTTTCACCTGTTTTAAGGATTAAAATGTTATATCATCAGGTATATGATATCTGTAAAACCTTCAGAATATATATAGGAATAAAACTGGAAAGTTTGGCATACAAGTGCTACTGAAGTGGAGATTTCTGGCTCAGTGCAGGAGAAAAAACTTGAATTTGAAAACAACCTTTAAAGATATGTATTGTAATTGAAATCTATAGACATAAAGATAAGTTATGGAATCTCAAAATTGACCAGAGCCTGAAAAAACAATGGTTTTGCCTGTTTTATCTTGCCTTAAGCCCAGTATTTATTGGTAAAAAATATATTTCTTCAACAGCAAGCAAAGACTTTAGACTGTGATTTTTTTAACATGCTAAAATCATGTAAATAAACCAAATTTACCATATGTGTAATTTGCGGTTGGGATAGGTGGGACATGTCCCCACCACTTTTTTGAAGGCCCCTGAAAAAATAATGTGCGGATGGATTACAACGCAATTCAGAAACGAAAACGATATACCGTGTTTCGGCCTTTTCTCAAGGACGCGGAAGCATGGTAGTGGGCTTGTGTTTTGTTACGCACTTCATTCCACCAAGCGTTGTTAGTTTTCTTCTTATTTAAATCTAGATAATTGATTTACAAAACATCGATTGAAATTAAGGTACAAATTATACAAAACGAAAAAACTTCAAACAAACTTATGAAGTGGTCAAAAATCATCTCCGACCCACTCCATATCTCCTGACATATTGTATTCAATCCATTTCCACGCCCTTTATGACGTATCCCATTTTTTTCGATATTTTCTTTCTTAATTAACATATTAAACCAAAATACGAACACTGTGCATATGCACTCTTTTACTGTTATCAAAGTGATGATGTAAAAATAATACTTTACATTTACACATTTAGATTATTTAAATATACCATATTCATGAATGGAGGAAAACCTGAGAATCTGAAGTCTCCATTTGCTCTCTATTTAGTTTCATTGCTGTCTGAACAAAGTGAAAAAAAAAAAATATTAAAAAGGTCTCATTTTTGATTCTTTTTCAATGACAAATACTGTAGAAAGAAATAGGCTTAGCAAGTACCTTTTCATGAAAATGTGATACTTTTATTTCTTATTTTGTTTAGTGAATCTGAGTGAAGTGCTTTTTTATTGGTGATTTATGTGTTTAGAGGTCTCTTGAACTCATCAGATTTCACTTCTGGTCCAGAGTTTGTGTCAAATGTCATTAAAGAACTCATGAGGGGAATATAGCCTCAAAGACAAGATATTCGTAACTTAACCATAAAGCGAGGAATTTCTAAACTGCCGCATTGCAGAGTTGTGTGTTCTTGGATCAAGTTGGACATTTATATATCTTGTATGTGTATGTGTGTGTTTGTATATATATCTGTCTGCACTGTTGCTAATGTGACAGGCACAATCCCATCATTCTATATCATTCTTTTCCAGCTGTTTTTTCACTCCTATAGATGACATTCAGAATTCCACCATTAAGATAAATGTTCTTCATATGAAAGCTCTGGTTCAAAAGCTCTCCGAGTTCTCTCGTCTCCAGCACAGGAGCTGTTGAGGTTTCCGGTATAATGCAGATTAATGCACCAGCCCAGACTTTGTGCCTGGAGACATCAGTGATAATCACAAAAAAACTTGAGATGGACAGAAAAAAAGAAATGAAGATAAAGGAGCGTACACAGAGCTTGTTAATCACCATTGTGCTGCTCCTGTTTATATTGTGCTGAGTTAAATAATGAAAAAAAAAGCAAGGGCTGATAAAAAGGAAGCAGGTTTTTTTTGGTGCTTACCCAAGGTCTTTGCATAAACACAATACCCTTGTGTTGCCTATGAATGAGATTTGGCCAGAATCACTCATTAACATATGTGGTCATGTTTGTGGATGTACAGTGAATGTTTAAAATACATAATTACTCTCTGATGACCCATCATCACTGATGAATCAGCTCTTAAGAAAACATCTCGCCGCAGAGATTGCATATGAATGACAGCAGATCAGGGCAGGCCTTCATTTAAAATATTTTTTACCCACTTGCATCAGAGGATGATTTCTTTGTATGTTTGGAAATGTTTTATAAATATTCACTGACCTCCTACTCCATGTTTTCCAACAATATATTTGCATCTAAAGCTCATTTCTCATTTGCACAGAGAGCACAGCAGACACATGCAGAGTTCATGGTGAAAGAGGAATGCCTTTGAGATTCAGATATTAGATGTCATTATAATATTTTTCGGTGCTTCAGAGGTTATCTGTGCAAGTGTTGTACTCCCATCAGCAGCAGAAAAAGTTGCTTGCTATCGTATAATCGTTTCCGTTGTGCAGGTGTTCAGATTTGCCATTTGTTTTCTGTGGGCTCAGTGCCCTGTTAGTTTGTAGGGAATAAAATGATCTAATGCAAGAGATAAAAAAAAAAAAAAAAAAAAAAACCAGTATTACAATTTGTTCTGTAATAGATTTGTCTTTTTCTTTGTACTTTCTCACAATATTATTGTTATAATATATATTGTACTAAAGAAGCTTTACAAAGAATAATGCTTTATGAAGACACAATTTATGCATGTATGTTATGCATGCCATTTTGTTTGTATGATTTATGATTGTGGAAAACTGACAGGAAAGTTAAGGGAAAACAGGACTGGGACATTTTTATGTTGTAACGGCACTACCCTAAATCCAAACAAAATTGAACTTGAGCCTGGAATAAACTAAAATTCTGAAACTGAAAAATTAAATAATACAAATTAAAATAAATATATACTTCAATTCAAATTTTCACCCAATTTTCTTAAATAGAGCAACAGTGAAACTGGTCTCAGAACAGCAGTCAGTCGGCAAGCTTTCCGTTTCTGTATTGAAATCAGTGGGAACTCCAGTTTAATCCTGGATTACAGATGCTTGTCCTGCAGAGAGACTGGCTAGAGGACAATACAGATTTCAATACAAGAACAGAGTTGTTAGAGAATCCATGATTTTTGGCAGTTTTGTATGTGGAAAGCTTGTCGACTGCTGTTCTGAGACCAGTTTCACTGTTGCTCTAATTTAAAAAAATGAGGAAAAAGAAGTGGGATTACACAGATGTTGGATCTGCCCTCCAGGCAGAGTTGAGTCTGGCTGGTGAGCGGGAGGTTGGCTGTCTGCCTGTCGGGTGAGAGACGGCACAATGCAGGGCTGGAGATGGTAATTGCACCAACCCATCGAACAGCAGGAGTGGAAACATTGGAGTGTTTTGAAGCAGGAAATGTTATGTGCCACGGCTTGGTGTGAATCAGGATCCATCACCTTTGTTGAGCTTCAGCTTCAGGTTCTCACATCTGTAATGTCAATTTAAATGCTTTCATTTGATATTCTTACCGTCTCTCTTTCTCTCATTCTAGCACTCAGATCCATTTCACAGTGGCCATTGATTTCACTGCCTCCAATGGTAATTTTTTCCGTGATGATTGTTTCCTGTTTTGAGTTTGTTCTCCATGCAGTTGGTTAACATATCTGAATCAGATTTGGCCTTAATTCATGATCCATCTCTCTTTAAACTCTAGGGAACCCTTCACAGTCAACCTCCCTGCACTACATGAACCCCTATCAGATGAACGCGTACGCCATGGCGTTGAAGGCCGTGGGCGAGATCATTCAAGACTATGACAGCGATAAGATGTTTCCTGCATTGGGCTTTGGAGCCAAACTTCCTCCTGATGGCCGGGTTTCCCATGAATTTCCCCTGGTACCTGTTCCTAGATATGATAGATTATGTGGATTTCACAGCTATCTGGCACATATCCAGAGTAATTTCTGCTCGAGTCCTAAATACGTGCCGTGTTTTTTTTTAGACACTCAGAATAATGTTGCTTTATCCTGTGGGTGAAATTTTATGTGTGAGGTTGTGTATGGTTGTTTCGAGGTATTTATTTAGTTGTTTGCACATATGTTGATGATATTGTAATTAGTAATGCTTGGTTTCATCTATGTGTAATGTGTAAATAAGGCGCTCTTGACACTCCTGCTCATTAACGTTACCCGAGCATTCATGATGTGTGTGTGCCAAACCATCAACTCGTCGAGCATTTGGAGTCTCTTAATTAGTTTTTGCTCACTCTTTCTCTCCCCCCATCCCCCTCTCTATCTTTCCTTGTGCTGGAACTTGAGATCATGACTGTTCATTTTCATTCTTGCTGCTTCACTCCCTGATTCTTTGAATATCACCGTCATTAGAGCATGAATAATTATCTAATGAATCATAAAATACTGAGCAGATACTGAGATCCCTAAGGGTGATACACTAGAGAAAGTTTTGATGGTGCATTTGAAGAATATGAATGTGCTAGATGGGCTGCGAGGATACAGAAAGAACGTTAAAGAACCAGTTTTTGGTTGAATTACACATTTGCAAACCCTTGCGGTTTCAATGGATTCACAGTTGAAATCACTGATGCAATGCAAATTAAAGTGTCTAGACGCCCTAATAAGCATCAAGTACTTTATATTGTAAAGTTTCTTATTCAAATGAATAACTGCAGATATCTTGAGAAATGTAAGTGTTGTGATAAATCTAATCTGCTGATTTGACCTTGACAGTAGAGGCGTAGTTGTTGATTGATCTCTGATGTTCTTTTTGAAGAATGGTAATGTAGATAACCCATACTGTAACGGGATGGAGGGCATCCTGGAGGCTTACCACCAGAGTCTGAAGACTGTCCAGCTTTACGGCCCCACCAATTTTGCTCCTGTTATCAACCATGTAGCAAGGTGAGAAAAATGCAACAACGCTCAAAGGAGCGTGCTAGAACAGTCCTGAAACAGATTCCTGGATTCAAATGAATAGAAAATGGTTGTATTAATTGTAATTTATTGTGACAGACTTTATTTTAAAGACAGACTTCACAGTATTGGAAAAACAAATCTTCAGCTGATGTTCTAGGACCCCTGCTTCAGACAAACCAAAACTCACAGGCAGAAATTATGACATTTATATGAGAACAACAGGACCCTATAAAACTTAACAGATTTTCAGGCTGACCCAGGTGCTGATGTATTAGTTTCACCTCTGTGTAAAAAATGAAAAAAAATTCTGAGAAATAAAATTGCAACTGTAAAAAATTGTCACAATTGTGGGATATAAAGTTAGAATTATGAGAAAAAAAGTCGCAGTTGTGAGATATCGTTGCAACTGTGAGAAAGTCACAACAGAGAGATACAGTATATAATCGCAATTTTGAGAAACAAAATCGCAGTTTTGAGATATAATGTTGAAATTATGAGAAACAATGTTGCGATTGTGAGATATAAAGTTACAGTTATGAGAAAGTCACATTTGGAAAATACAAAGTTGCAATTGAGAAAAAAAAATCCCAGCTGTGAGGAAAAAGTCACTATTGACGTAGTCACATTTATGAGAAACAAAGTCGCAATAGTGAGATATAAAGCCAGAATTATGAAAAGAAGTTGCAACTGTGAGGAAAAAGTAACTATTACTTAAGTAGCAATTAAAAGAAAAAAAGTCACACTCTGCCTTTTTGTTTTGTAATCAGAGATGAACACAGAATTCTATACTCCTGAATACTGTAGCGAATACTGTAGCTGATTGTACTTATTGTCGGGCGACGTCGGTCCTGGAGTGCCGCTGTCCTGCAGAGTTTAGCTCCATCTCCAGACAAACACACCTGAACAAGCCCATCAGTCTTCAGGACAAAGCCACTTAAAGGAGTAGTTCACTTTTGAAAAAACTTTTGCTGATAATTTACTCACCCCCATGTCATCCAAGATGCCTATGTCTTTCTTTCCTCAGTCAAAAAGAAATTACGGTTTTTGATGAAAACATTCCAGGATTTTTCTCCATATAATGGACTTAAATGGGAACCATACGGTCCAAGGTCCAAAATACAGTTAATAACAGTTTCAGATGCAGCTTAAAATGTCTTTAAACGACACCAGACGATGAATAAGGGTCTTATCATGCGAAACGATCGCTCATTTAAAAAATAAATAACAACGTTTAAGTTTTATAAGCTCACATGCTCGCCTTTCTCTGTTCTGTGTGACTCTCCTGTTCGAACTCGTTCATCAAAATGAACAAATCTTTTTCCGAGTCAATTCGTTCATTTCGGTCGTTAAATGAATCAAATGACTCGAAAAAAGATTTGTTCATTTTGATGAACGAGTTCGAACAGGAGAGTCACACAGAACAGAGAAAGGCGAGCACGTGAGCTTATAAAACTTAAACGTTGTTATTTATTTTTTAAATGAGCGATCGTTTCGCATGATAAGACCCATATTCATCGTCTGGTGTCGTTTAAAGACATTTTAAGCTGCATCTGAAACTGTTATTAACTGTATTTTGGACCTTGGACCGTATGGTTCCCATTTAAGTCCATTATATGGAGAAAAATCCTGGAATGTTTTCATTAAAAACCGTAATTTCTTTTCGACTGAGGAAAGAAAGACATAGGCATCTTGGATGACATGGGGGTGAGTAAATTATCAGCAAAAGTTTTTTTCAAAAGTGAACTACTCCTTTAAAGGCAAGCCTGCAACCTTGGCTGAAAAAAGCGTAACGCCTGCTAATGCTGCTGGACAGACAAGAGACTAGAGTGCTTTTTTAAATGGATGTCAATGGAGGGAAGGCTTCACTATGCTGAATAAACCACTTTTGTGAAGAAAAATAGCTTATTTAATTAATCGACAGCCCATCGGCTAATCTTCAACATGTTTGCTCTTAAACATTAGTTTTGGATTTATCTATTTTTAGAGTTTACACCGAAAAGAATGCTGTTTTCTTTATAAGAGAAGTCACAGACGTGACGGGTATGATTTCTATGGTATCCGCGAACAGTGATTGACTATCGTACAACTCTGTGATTGGTTATCAAGGCACACGTTATCCAAGTTAGCCGTTCTCCAACGTTAGAGCCACGGCCCCTCGTATCTTCCAATAATAAGACCATCTCTGTTCAGGATTACTAACGCTACAGTCAGGTGAGGTTTTTTATTTTGGATCAGGGTTGGAGCTAAACTCTGACAGCGGCACTCCAGGACCGACGTTGCCCATCCCTGGTCTAATTCAACATGCCTATAGATGATTTTAACAACCCCCAAATGTTGGTTTCTTGTCGCTGTGCACGAGTGCGGAACTCCGAGAGGCCAGATCTTCTGTCATAGCTTCTGTAAAGTGTTTTGCATCACAAAGAGCATTATTGGATTTTGATGAAGGCAGAAGAGCTATGTCAATAGCACAGGGACATCCCTGAGCAAATATATATATGCATGAGATTCAGCACTGAATACTAAGTGTTTAATGAGGATGCTCATTCTTTCATTATTCATCTGGGATGTTAAAACACAGTCAATCAACTGAACCAGCATGAAGAAATTTTCATGTTTGGCTAATGGTTCATTTGGGGTGATTTGGATTTTTGCTAATATGTTTGTTAATATGAAAAGGTGACTGTGTATGTGTGTGTGTGTGCGGACACAGGTATGGCGCAGCAGTTCAAGATGGCTCGCAGTACTTTGTGCTTCTCATCATCACAGACGGTGTGATATCAGATATGGCTCAGACTAAAGAGGCCATCGTCAATGTAAGTCATCTTTGACCTCACTCTCTCTCATTCTGTCTTCAAAAACTGTTTATATCACCACACTGGTAAAAAATTGCATCACAAGAGGTCTAAAAGCCCAAGAAGAGTTAAGGTGTGTTTTGGGTCTTCTGGAGGTCCTCTTCACATCTAATGGGATTCGTCTGTCACCGTTGCTATAGTTACCCAGCAGACTGGATTTAAAGGGAATTTGCGACTGTTTAGTCACATTATTAGAACAGCCACACCTTCCTTTTAAGATCTTGCCTGCTGCTCTGTCTCTTCACCCTCTTCCCTTGATGCTTTGGATCTCAGTCTTCAGTCACGAGGTTTGAGTTTGGGTTCACGCCAAATGACCGAACAATGCATGTGCGTTATTCATTTCTATGCCTCAAGTGATTTTTTATTGAAGTCTGCTGTGAGATTTCCACTTTTGTGCTCTTTTATGTTATTCTTTTTTTAAATGATTAGATTAAAATGAGCACTTTGAAGTATTTCTCATATGCACTCTCGCTCTGTGATTCTCTGCACTTACAGCAATTTGGCCTCTTATATATTCTGAGAGTAGCTGAAGTGAAATGTAGGGCAATTCAGTAAACTGTGTGGTCACTTTCTGTCACTAATTTAGATTTTTGAACAAGAATAGACAAATATGCTCGCTGGTACTCTGGAATTGTTTTTGGAATCATTTTCATAATCAGTATTTGTCTTGTTTTCAAGTAAAAATATCTAAACATCCTTTAAATAAATAAATGATTTACTTTAGAAGCAAAGTTAAAACATCTTTAAATTATAGCTTAGCTTAGATCTCTTATTTCTGAGAGAAACTAAAATGATGTAGGTTCATTTCCTTCTACCAAATGGTTGCTTTGGAGTTTAAAAAAACAACAACAATAATCAACAATTTTAAACACACATGCACCTCTGCTAAACTGTAAAAATAATTGTTAATTATTGTTAAAAAACTGTCTTTTTATTTCTGTAGATTTGTTTAAACATCCTTAAAATAAAGAACAAATAAATGTAAATAAAAAGTTGTCCCAATTAGCATCGTTTTTTTTTGTTTAACATAATTCAACTGTTAAATTTATCCTTGAAACAAGAAAAAAAAAACATTTTGTCAATTGAAATAAAGAACAAATTGAAAAAGATTTATATTTAATAAATCTGTTAAATGACTCCAAAGAAGTTTTATCCTCACCGATACCAGCAGGTGTGAGCGTGTTCACTGAAAATCTAGGAATACACTGAAGCCAGGCAAGAGGGTATGTGGCTAAGCAGACAAGAAAACACTGTAATTCACAGAGTTTATTATAGGCTAGCTGTAAATGTGTCACCTCACATAATTCACAGTAATCTGCACTTATTTCAAGGCTGAGAGAGTTATTTGGTAAAAAAAAAGAAAAAGTAAAGAAAACAGGGAGAAACAAGAAGGAGAGGGAAAGTAAACAAGTGAATGAGAAAGATTGCGAGAGAGGCGCTTGAAGGAAAGACCTACAGGAAACAGAGCAGTGAATACATGAAGTGTGTGTGTGTGTGTGTGTGTGTGTGTGTGTGTGTGTGTGTGTGTGTGTGTGTGTGTGTGTGTGTGTGTGTGTGTGTGTGTGTGTGTGTGTGTGTGTGAGAAATGTGTTTGTTTAGGCTCATCTTCCCAGCTCTATTTCTTTCAACTCATGACTGCCTCTGTCCCCCGTGAGCATTTCCGGGAAGACTGACCTACTTCCAACCCCATAAATATGTTTTTATAATCCTTGCCCATTGGCACCAAGCACTCAGTGTGCTGTCTGCACAATGCATACAGACAGGGTTGGACTGACTGGTGGACAAAAAACAGCCTGGGACCAATACCATCCCCATCACAACATCACAAGTGGATAAAATAATTATTGGCTGCATTTTTTTATGTTTGTTGGTTGTTTGTATGTATATAAGTATGTATGCATGTATGTACAGTATATACACTCACCGGTCACTTTGATAGGTACACCTTGCAAGTGCTGGGTTATGGCCTATGTTGCCTTCACATCTGCCTTAATTCTTCATGGCATAGATTCAATAAGGTGCTGAAAACATTGTTTTATATTGACATGATAGCATCACGCAGTTGCTGCAGATACTGCACATTCCAGTACATTCAAAAGGTGTTCAATAGCATGGGGATCTGATGACTGTGGAGGCTATTTGAGTATAGTGAACTCTTTGTCATGTTCAAGAAACCAGTTTGAGATGATTTGATGTTTGTGACATGACGTGTTATCCTGATGGAAGTAGCCATCAGAAGATGGGTACACTGTGGCCATAAAGGGATGGACATGATCAGCAACAATACTCAGGTTGGCTGTGGCATTTAAACCATGCTCAGTTGGTATCAAGGGACCCAAAGTGTGTAAGAAAATATCCTTCACACTATTACACCAGCAGCAGCAGCAGCCTGAACCGTTGATACAAGGCAGGATGGATCCATTCTTTCATGTTGTTTATTTCAAATTCTAATCCTACCATCTGAATGTTGCAGCAGAAATCGAGACTCATCAGAACGGCAACATTTTTCCAATCTTCTATTGTCCAATTTTGGTGAGCCCATGTGAATTGTGGGCTCAGTTTCCTGTTCTTAGCTGACAGAAGTGGCACCCGCTGTGGTGTTCTACTGCTGTAGCTCAAGATTTGACGTGTTGTGCATTCAGAGATGCTCTTCTGCAGACCTTGGTTGTAACAAGTTACTTTTGACTTTTTATCAGCTCTAACCAGTCTGGCCATTCTCCTCTGACCTCTAGCATCAACAAGGGTAAAAAGATTTTTATGAACTGCTGCTCACTGGATATTTTCTCTGCATTTTCTGTAAACCTTAGAGATGGTTGTGCTTGAAAATCCCAGTAGATTCTGAAATACCAAGCCCGTCTGGCACCAACAACCATGCCACCTTCAAAGTCACTTAAAGGGTTAGTTCACCCAAAAATGAAAATTCTGTCAGTAATTTCTCACCCTCATGTTGTTCCAACCCCGTAATACTTTCATTCATCTTCGGAACACAAATTAAGATATATTTGAGTTCACGAGAGCGCCATGACGCAAGCGCGAGAACTGAGAAGATGACGCTCACGATCCTTTGATGGGAAAGTGTGAAAGGTAAGCCATTTTGCAGCATTGGTAAGGCACTTTTACGTTTTCTCGTTGGTTTCTCACGATTCGGACATCCAGGAAATGCACACTTTAGAACCATTTTAAACACTACATCGAGTCCCATCTGCGTCATCTTCTCAGTTCTCGCGCATGCGTCGTGGCGCTCTCGCGAACTCACTCAGAGGCCCACACGGAAGAAAACGAATAGTTGAATAAAGTCGTTATTTTTGTTTTTTTGTGCGCACAAAAAGTATTTTTGTCGCTTGATAAACTTAAGGTTGAGCCACTGTAGTCACTTGGACTATTTTAACGATGTCTTTACTAACTTTCTGGGCCGGCAGGTGCAATTACATAGCAGCCTATGAAGGAGTGAGCCAGCTCTCAGATTTCATCAAAAATATCTTAATTTGTGTTCCGAAGATGAACGGAAGTCTTACGTGGTTGGAACAACATGAGGGTGAGTAATTACTGACAGAATTTTCATTTTTGGGTGAACTAACCCTTTAAGTCACCTTTCTTCCCCATTCTGATGCTCAGTTTGAACTTCAGCAGATCGTCTTGACCATGTCTACATGCCTAAATGCATTGAGATGCTGCCATATGATTGGTTGATTAGATATTTGCATTAACGAGTAGTTTAACAGGTGTAACTAATATAGTGGCCAGTCAGTGTTACACAGATAAACTAATTGAAAAAATTATAAATAATATATATATAATAAATAATAAACTGAAAAATACATATATGTGTGTATATATATATATATACACATATATATGTATGAAGACTTCAGATGGAAAAGCCTCTAAGTCCGTCTAACGTTTTTCTTTAATATTAACATTTTTATCAGACTCCTGTATAGGTTTCTGTACACTTACAGTAATGTATACTATGTGCGGGGAGGCTTTTGCATCAGAGGTCTTCATATATATATATATACAGTATATATATATATATATATATATATATATATATATATATATATATACACACACACATACATAGACAGTATATTTCAGAAATAAAGAAACACCATGAAAATCCATATAAATTAATTCATTTTAATTATTTAATTTTGTATTATTACCTACAACTTTATTTTTTTTAAATAAATTATTTTATTTATTTATATTGATTTCCTCTATATGTATGTCTGATATTCTGAAATATGCAATCAGCTGATTCTGTTTTAGTATTTGTTCATATTCTCACAATTTATTGAGTCCATCTTTTGTTTTCCCACATAAAGCTTGAGGGTTACTGAAGAAATCGATCTCTGAATCGTAGTAATTAATGATCTAAATCACTCATTGGTTTGATTAGCTTTCCAGGCCCCACAGTTCGGGGGTTGTGTTTGTGTGTGTCTCTTTTTCATCTTGTGTGATGTGTTTTAGTGTGTGGCCCCCAGTGAAATTCCAATTCTAACTCCATTACAGCCCACAAACTTATCAGCGTGACTGAGGTTGTGTGTCCAGCCAGCTTTATTCAACAAATTATTCATTCCTCTCAACAGGCTTTCACAGGCCCTCTGGGAAAGTACTTTCAAAATCCAAACCCTCAGGAGCCTTTAATATTTCTCTCATTATATTTTTGATACTGTATATTAAAGGTATATATCTCATTATAAGCTCTTTAGATTACATGTCATAGAAATAATGTTTTCCCCCATGTATGTATTTCCTTTATTTTATTCTGTTTCTGCTGGGATCATGTGTAATGCATTATCTGCAATTACTTTTCATTTCAAACCACTGGGAAGTCGCTTTAGGGAGAAAGTGAGTTTTGTTTCTGTGAATATCCTGTGGTTTTCTTGTTATCCGTTGTCACACTTAAGCTGCCTCTGAGTTTTCTCAATATAGACTCACTCTTTACTTCTCTGATA